GTAAATTATATGATTAAGGAGAGTAGGCAGAAGTTCTACTTCTACAGGGACAAGCTAGTGAGCCAGGGTGCCATTTTGAGATGCACAGTAATGAAACTAGAATTGTCTTGTGAGACAATCTTATAATTAATTTGCTATTTGAAAGACCGTAAACAAAAATCAAGTTCTAAAGCTATGTTCTTTAATAAAATAGTGTCAAACATATCATAACTGGCTTCTGGAACCATTTCCATTTGCCTTCACAACTAAAATTACATATTTACCCTCTCCTCCAGCACTGCCAGAGGGTGTGCAGTAAGACATCACAGAGCTTGCTAGAACAATGTTAAGTGCCCTCTGCACTGAAGTTAATAAAGAACTCATTAGCAGACAAAAATGCAGAACTTTGAGAATCTTTACACAATTCCTTCAAATTTCATTTCACAAGCAAAAAATGCATAAAATAACAGCATCCTAATACATGACAAGTTTTGATCCTAGTACCTGACAACTATAGAGCAAGCTTCTTTTGACTTGTTCATCCCTAGATCTATACAAATACTCGACCACAAGATTTTTTCTTCTGTCACATCTGCTGTTTCTGATGTAGCTCTAGAGCATGTTTCTTCAGGCAGTTTAGCCATGGAGATCTTTATAAGCTAGACGATGTCATGACTGATTGACCCACTTCCACCTTCGCCCTGCCTCCTCAAGGACCTTATCAAGGATTTGGCTTTTCCTTGCTTTGTCCACAATCCAAGATCTGTAGACATAGCTTCCATTAGCAGAGCATAGTGACTTGTCCAATCTTGACACTATCATTAAGCAAATAAATATTCACTAGTGAATGGTGAACTTATAAATGCTAAAATGAGAGGAAGCCCAGTTGTGAGTAAGGTTCTGGAAACGTTTTGTGTGGTTCACATTGGTTAATTTATCTTGAAATCCTAAGATGAATTAGTGGTTTAAAGTTCGGTTGAAGATATAATTTAAATAAACATTTCCCTAGAGCAACTTGAGTTTTAAATACAATGGTTCTACATGGTGCTAAAGACATGCTTCAGAAAACCCCCCTAAAAATGCAGTTTTTAAGGTCGGCCAAACATGCTTATTACAGATAGCCTTGATTTTCTTTTACCTTAGTCTACGACTGGCTTCCAACTCAGCTTCCAGTATTGATTTTTCATCAAGCAGTCCTCCATATTTCACCTGTAAATTCCATAGTGCATCTTGTACACCATGCTGCTCATTGATATACTTGGACTGCTCGGAAGCAAGGTTTTCTGACATCTCTGCCACTTCTTCATTTAGACTAGAAAGCAACTGTTTCTGACAATCTAATGCGACCTTCTGCTTCAAAAATTAAGCTAAAGCATTTTCTTGAATAATCTTCTCCTGTTCCAAAGCATTGATGGCTGAAAGATAATTCCTTTCCACTTCTAAACCATGGGTACTTTCTTCATTTATCTTTCTTTCCCATTTTCACTTTATCTCACACGTCTCTAGAAGCTCAGATTTTATTTCTTCAATTTCAGTTTCTCTTGAAGAATTCTCAGCTTCCAGCCTTGATATTTCAGCATGTATAAATTCCATGCTTCTTCCACTGGCCAGCGCCACTGCTGCCTGGGCCTTTGTGCATGGTTTTCTTAGTTGAAATCGCTTGCTCTGTCCTGCGAATAGCATGTAGTTCGTGTCATTTGTTATGTTATAAAGAAAGTAGCAGGTGTAATGGGTGTTCAAATGAAAGTCGTGTACGTTGTCTGAAAAAAGTACATGAAATTATCTTAAAACCATTGGCAAACAGATAGATAATTTGTATGCTCATAGTACCCTAGCTTGGCAAACAAGCCACAATTAATTACAGATAGTTAATTGCATGCGTCAACTCTGAGCAACACATCTTTAATTAGGAATAGAATCACAGGGTGGGATGGGAAGGGAGGGGGGAGAAGAGAGAGAGAGAGAGAGACCAAAAACTCTTTTGAGTATGCTCTTTTCCTCAAACAGAATATGCAGGAAAAGCTCCACCAGCACATCTGAAGATATCTCTCTCACATCTAGAAACCCAATGTTCTTCATTGACACCTGAACTGCAAATGAAGTCAATTTTTAAGAGGAAAATTTTTCAAAACGTCATGTCAATGATGTACGCTTCATATGATGAGATAAAAAACAACAGGTAATAAGCTGTAGTTGCTTCCCTACCTCTTCAGTAATTCCTGGTCTGACTTCATATTCTACATTTACTTTCCAACTAATCAGATCCTGCCGAGATACGAACCTATTACACCAAAAGTATGATTTTCAGAGCAAATGAAGATTCTTTCTATCGTGGGTGGGTGAAGGGAGATGGATAGAAAGATAGATACAGTGTTCAGCACATTTGACATACCTATCAGGACAGAAATTCATGCATCCTTCACCATCTAAATCACTCAGACTAGTCCTTGAGCTTTTTCCTGATAGTTTGCTTCTAATAATGCCAGCCTCAGCTAGTGCTATATTACAAGTTCAGGGCACGATTGAAAAAGTTATTTTCTAACAGGAAAAAAACACAAAAATAATTGGGTGACATCATGAAAAAGCCTTACACTGAATGGATTCAAAATCAGGGTCTTGCGCAGTCACATCATCAAATGCAGTAACTGTAGAACCAGAAAGTGCAGCACACGAATTTATCTGATGTTTCCGACTCCTGCAGATCAAAGAACAAAATGGTGATCAGAATCAGCTAATTGCACTTGGATTAAATGTTTATAAACCAGAATAATTTATAATATGTGCAAATACAATACTATTACTACCTCTCCAGTTGTGAATTTGTCCTTAGAAACCATCTTGCATATTTCCGTCTTGTACATAGTTGTTCTGGTTTGGCATCGTCTTCAGTAATCTGCATATCTTGATTACAATCATAGGAACCATGCTCAAAACTGATAAGGTTTAATCCAAATACCAGACAATCTCATAGCAAAAGCATGAACCTGTTTGGGACCATCTACGAAAGCAACCAGAATCCCTTTTTCTTCAAAGGAGTAGGAAATAGAAGGGTGTTAAGAGTGTTCACATAACCTCATTCCGAACGAGAATAACCACCCAAGTTTAAACTTTCCGTATCCATTCATATAATATATTCTTAGATTACGAATTAGTCTTTTCAACTTAATTACAGTAATAAATTTTTATAAAAAAGGATCTCACTAATGCATGAACAAACTTTGATGTTTAATCTGAACCGTATTTTGAAAAAATCAATTGCACTTGGATTCTGTCTGTTGGGTGCCTGTGTCTAAGTGTATTATCCTTAACTAGAGGAAAAGGGGGTAGAGGTTGGGGACGATTTTTCCGCCGCCTCCGGTAGACAGAAGAAGAGGGGATAAAAATAAGGGGGCTCTAGAGTTTTCACTTTTCAGTGTCAAAACAGAGGAAAGAGAAACTGGAAGTTTCACAATTGAACAAAATGACAGATGATACTGGCGAAAAAATGAAATTGGAAGGGCATAAAAAGAGGAAAAGAGGGCCTCACATCAACATGAGAATACAGGCGGTAGAAAACGTATCGCAGGAACATGAGATATGCAACTTAAACATACCTTCAATTTCTTTAGCATTAACAGAGCTTCCTGTTGAGTGGAATCCACAGCAAATGGAACTACAATACGCTCGAGCCTTCTCTCTTTCATTATACCATGGCTCGTATCTTGACAGTATAATCAAGAACAAATTAGCTAGGATCACTAAATATGAGGAAGGTAATTCAAAGGCACGAATA